TATATTGTATGTAAGACTTATTTGCATGGAAAAAATGAAAATTGGAAGAGATAAGAATTACTGTTATCGTATCATAAGAGATTTCTATTTGCAGTTTAATGATTGTTACTCTGAAAACTGCTAACTCTGCAACCTGAGATCTCTATGAGTGCAATATGTGAAGTCTCATATTCCCACTGAGACAGAGAGACAAACATTACAAAGGGACTGAATTTGGCATAATTCTCTGTTCCCTTTCATGCTGAGCCGCTGTTTTAAGCTTTTCCCCCACAACCATGTTTTTGCTCCGTGCATTAATTTCATCTTGATATCATACATGAGAACTTGTATGAATACACAGTACTGAACTTTATGCTTCAGGGTGAAAAGATAAGGGGGGAAATGCTATCAAAGTTTGAAAGATGAAACCTTTTTGTCCTTTACATCCCACCTGAGAATGCCTGCTAGTTCTGTGGCATCTCTGAGTCAAGATTTACTGCTGTGTGTAGAGTCCACTGAACATTTAGATGTATTGAACCCTCTGTAATTCAGGATTACACAGTGAAAGGGAGATGAAATCACTTTTGTGCAAAGATAATTAGAAATGGGCTCAGCAAAGCAATTTGGAGGAAAGAGTAGTATCAGAAGTACGTAGACCAGAGTCCAGCTTTTCCGTATTTGAATATCTAAAGGTTTCTAACACTGCAGTATTTATGTGTCTACTTGATGTATGGCTCAATGGTATTTTCAGGTAAGTGTGTAAAGGTCTGGAGCCTGAGGGTTCAGAAGTTAAGTGTGGAAGCTTATTACTGTACAATACAGTAAAACTTTTTAAACTTTTTAAACAATTTGCTCATACAAAACAGCCATCACTAATGAGTGATACTCTGCTTGTATATATTGTTTTGTTTAAAAACTATTTTAACCAAGCCACATGCATCTGTAATAAAATTTAGCAGCTTTCCCAGAGTGCTTGGTTAATAAAGGGAAGGGAAGGGAAAATCCACAAAGAAATGGAAAACTAACAGAAGTTTTCAAAAAGTTAAAATTGAACTTACAGAATAGTCTGTAAAATGGTCAACTTTGAGTTTACTGTTGCTTCACTAGACCACTGCCGTCTTCTCACCTCTGGTCTTAGCCCTCATGTTTGTCCAGCAAGCCATTGCCAAAACCATTCAGCCCTGTTATCGCTCTGATGAATAAACAACTGCATTGGCTTCTTGCCCACTCCAAAATCCAGCCCTTGTTCTTCAAACCCCTGCATGACCTTATCTTCCTTATCTCCCCACTCTTACATCCTGAGACAAATAAGACTTTGCCTTTACTCCCTTGCTTGGAACTGTTTCCAATAATGACTGCATGATGCTTCATCTCTTACTGTCTTCAGGACCCTCAACAAAGCCTTTGTTTTCTGTGAAACCTGTGGCTCAACTTTCTAGTTCCCATGCCATTCTGTAACTGAACCCATAGTTAAGCATATGGAACTAAAGCAACAACATATTGCTTCAATGTTTACCCTTGTCTTCCCTGTCCTCTGTTGCTTCCTAGTTGCAGACTCATTAGGACACAGACCTGTGCTCTTCTACTCTTTTAAGTGTCATGCACACTGATGGTACTAAATAAATAGACAAATAATGACAGGCTTTCATAGCACATAAATAAATTCTGTCAGTAAGAGCGATATTCAGAAATGCACTGCACATACAAACGTGCAGTATTTATCACAGTGACCAGAGATGATCAAATTGTCTAACACAAAATAAAGTGGAAATGGTTCTTCCAATTTGTGGCCCATAAAACTCTTATTAATGATAAAAAGTAGGTTATTGGCTATATTGAATTCAGTTGAGCCAATATGCATTAAATGATGAAACAAAAATTAAAGTGATGAAAATCATCCTCTTCTCCTTCTTCATAGTGTAATAACCTTTTAAATCATGCTTGACATTTGTAAGTTGAGGGAGCTGGCAGGTCTGTAAAATCTGTAATATATGTGGTAAACCTTTTCTGGGGCAGTAATCTCACTGCTCTGTCTAATGGTTCTCACTTCACATGGTCTACTTATCCCCAAGAGACATATCTGACTGCATTTTATCCAAGCCACAGGATGCTAATATTTCTTATCATGAGGAAACAAGAGTGTGTCTGCAAAGCAATGACTATATGACTAGAGGTAAAACTACAAACCATCCTTTTGCCAAGATTTTTATTTGTTTGTTCTGCTTTCCGCAGGACAATAAAATTTGAAACACCTTGAGGTTTCCTTCCCATCCTAGGGCAATGCCACACACAAATGGCAAATCTATTTACCTGATACAAGTAGCACATAGCAATATATTCAGCTGTACTATTGCCTTGTCACCAGTAACACTCCAAAGGCAAAGTAGATGTGAATAGCATGTGTCTACTTCTGACCCTCATTCTTAATAAGATATGCCTAATGTTTCCTTTTTACACATAAAATATAAGTTTAAAATGGAATTCTGAACTGACTTAAAGTCAGTTACTTCCAGTTATCTCTTCATTTCCACATAGAGAGATACTACAAAAAAAACGTTAACACTCTATGGACATGTAGATAGTGCTTGTAGGCAGAATCCTTCCAACATCTTTGGTTTGGTGCACCAGCTGCTTCTGTTTCCAAGGAAGGAAAATGATCCTAACTCAAGGCTTGGTAATTTCAAGGGTAGATCATTGCAATGCATTTTTATATCAAGCTCCCTTCAAAAAATATTAGGAATCTGCAGTTGGTCAGTCAAGTTGTGAATTTTCATCATTCCAGTGTTTAAAGATCTATGCTGCTTCCAAGTTTGTTTCTAGGCACAAAGAAAAATGCTGGTGTTGACGGTCAAAAATGCTGGTGTTTATGGGTCAACAGTTGGCCAATGAAGCCCTGAATTGTCTAGGGCTTTATCACTGGCATCTGATCTTGAGTTCAGAAACTGGGTGAGTTGTCACCAGAAACAAGACTTCTCATTAGTGCTGTCCAGATACAGAGATGCTTCCTTCTTAGAGCATTAAGATAAAGTGTTATTTTTGAACCATGCAGTGTGCTACTAGCTTTATTTAGTAGTTTAACCATAGTATATTTATTTCAGTTTAACTGACCTTTTAAAAAACTACCATGTAGCAAATCTCAAAGGTTACTGTTTTAATCAATCAGTTAATTAAACAACTTATGACTCTGAAAGTAATTTGCAGTATTTAATCATATTATAATAGACAGGATTTAATATACTTTTGACACAAAAAACCACTTGTCTACTTTTGGAGCACATCTATTGACTGTTCTATCAGTTCAACATTTTGTAAAGTCAAATCTGGGTTCATTCCCCATTCCAAATGACCTCACTTATATTGCTTGGTTTCTGCATGTGAGGCACTTGCACATTACAGCGATAAGCTCATGTAAAGCATTCTGATTAGATGGAAGAACAGCATACAGCATAGTTTAAGTCATTCAGGTCACTGCATACAGCCCAGCAATTATTATTTTCCCCAGCATGAAGTTGGTTTCCCATGCAGAGCCAAAGATGATAACGGGGCAATTACAATATCCGCTTATATCCACCTGAAAAAAGGTCTGTTACTTGCGACTCCACAGCTAGTGCAAAAATAAATCCCTTCCTAAAGGAAGGGTGAATGCACCTCTGCAAAAAAAGGTTCAGATTGCAGCACTTATCTTTAAAACTAACTGTTCTATTTCCAGCATGTAAAATTACCGTAAAGAAAGTAAACTGGATGCCACAGAACATCTAGGTCACTTATGTAGTAACAAAGGAAGGAAATGCAAAAGGACTCATTTAGTGGGGGTTTTAGAGTGTTAGAAACAAACATATAAAACTGTAAATGTATTCTTTCATAAATGGGAGATTTTGCAGGGAGAATATATGACACAAGAGTGAGCTGGTTTGGGGCAATTATACACACAACATACAACCTTTTCTGTATATAAAAAATCCTTACTATTTCTTCAGCTTTGTGGTCATTGAGCTACTGCTGTCATCTGATTAAACAATAAATGAATTGAATTAAAGCAGTTAAAAATGACACTATTGTCCTGCAGAAGCCACTATCATAAGAAATTAACAACTGACCAACTTTCTAGCTGATTGGTTGACTGATATAACTGATCAGACAGTGGGAATTTAACCTCTTTCAAACAGGTTCCAACCTTCCAAAAGATCAGGCTCAAAACTGGGGCAGACAATTAGATGTGCAAATGGATAGGGAAGTGTCATTCATGACACAAACTTTTGCCCAACTTTTGTTGGTATGTCAGTTGCTACCTTTCTTGGAAAAGTGTGATCTGACAATAATTATCCATGCATTGATAACCTCTATGTCAGTCTTCCCAAACCTGGCACCTTATAGATGTTTGAGACTACAGCTTCTGATTACTGATTACTGATTACTAAGTGATTACTAAGATCCAGCATGGCTTTCTCAAAAACAAGTCATGCCAGACGAATCTCTAATTTTTTTTATAGGGTGACAAGCTGGTGGATCAGGAGAATGCTGTGAACGCAGTGTATCATGATTTCAGTAAGGCTGTTGACAAAGTCACCTATGATATTCTTTAAGAGAATCTGGTAAAATGTAGACTGGACAAGGTAATTGTTGGTGGTTGACTGACCAAACCCAAAGAGTGCTCATTAACAGTTCCTCATCATCCTGGAAAAAGGTGATAAGTGTGGTACTGTAGGGTTCTGTCCTGGCATTAGGAAGAATTTTCTGACAATAAGAGCTGTTAGACAGTGTAATGGACTGCCTTGGGAGGTAGTGGACTCTCTTCTCCTTCCTTAGAGGTTTTTAAGCAGAGGATAGATGGCCATCTGTCATGGATGCTTTAGCTGAAATTCCTGCATTGCAGGGAGTTGGACTATATGACCCTTGGGGATCCCTTCCAACTCCACAATTTTATGGTTCCATGAGTCTACCATCCCTAATCATTAGTCATGCTGATTGGGACTGAGTGAAGACTTCAGGCTGAGAAAGCTCCCCATCCCTACAATCTATTACTTTTTTTAGCTCAGTTACTAGAGTATGAGACTCTTAATCTCAGGGTTGGGGGTTTGAGCCCCATGTAAAAGATCCCTGCATTGCATGGGGTTGGACTAGATGATCCTCATGGTCACTTCCAACTCTACAATTCTATAATTTTATGATACCATATGCACAACTTTTGCAGGGTAGATTTTCCCCAATATCAAAGGCATGTTGCTTGGTAACTTGCTTAACTCAATTAATATGAGAAGAAGAAAGAACAAACAGGCAATAATTGCAACTAGTTATTTTTCCTATGATGGTACTTTTCACATAATTAGAAAAAAATAGCTATTATAGTGGTCTGCCTGCCAATTATTTCAGGATGATAAGACAAATCCACATCCTGCCCATTATTTTAGGAGGATAAGACAAATCCATTGAAGGCTATGAACCAAACTATGAATTACTATGGGTTATGGCACCACATACAAATAGTGTGGTTTAATTCTGCTTTGTAAGTAGCTTTCTCTTGTTTATCAATCTCTCCAGGGAAGAGAGGGCTGTTATAAGCATTGTCTTTAATTTATCTCATGTGTGTTGCCTAAGTGAAGAGCAACACTTATGTAACATCTTAACTGTATAACTCTAAAGGCTGGTGCTAGTAGTTACAAAAATGCTAATAGCAAAGAAAGGTTGCTTGCTGTTAAGGCTCCCTAATTACTTTCTAGAAGAAACAAACTGCCCCCCCAAAAAACCCCCAGCCAATTGACTAAATATTTTTAAAGCAACAAGGGTAACACAGATGTCCTTTAACTCTCTTGGCAACACTGAATATTGTAGTTAAAAGTAAGAAACAATGCTCGTTGAGCATTCAGCTTTAAGAGGCAAATCCAGGACTAAAAATTCACTGTACTCATAACAGATTAAATATTTATTGGTATTTTATAAACTCAAACTTGCATGGAAGCCACTGAGAAAAACAATATGCTATACCTCCAGCTTCGGAAATTTTAACCTGTCATATTTATTTCTTCGAAAAGAGAAATAAAAATGAATACCAAATTGCTCTGTATTCCTAACAAGTGGGTCAGACCTTTAGGGCTGAATAAAATGCTCTATTAGTATACATACAAAACTGCTATGCTAAAGAATGCTAGATTTATGGAGCAATTCTAACTGAACCCCTTACCTGCACCACTAAAGATTTGGGATGCTTTGAATCTACTACTGATAGTGTTCCAACTGACCCTACAAGGCCCTAAAATGGTGGAGGTGAGGGGCAAAGCAGTGCAGAAGACAGTTGGGTACTAAGCCTGCCCATTTGCTAGACAGGAGTTGGCAGTGGCAAAGGCTCTACCATACCAGACAACCTTGGGGGGGGGGGGAGTTGGGTTGCAAAATCTATCATTCAACAGTGATAGTGAAAATTAATAAATTAGTACAAGCAATGAATATAAATGCTATTAAGTTGTTTGCCATTATGTCGTGCAGATGTTTCCTATTAGGACCTACAACTTGTATTTTCATGCTTTTAATTCTGACCTATCTTCAGCTGGTAAGAAAATACAACATTTAAACCTCCAAACCTTGTTATAGAATAAGCAACAGGAAATCAGAACGAGAAATTATTTTAAAAGCAAGTTTCTATAAAACTGCTATTTATATTATTTATTTACCTGTTAACAATTTTTTATTAATTACTTCAGGATGCTTAGCAACCTACAGGCTAATCCTACACATGTTAGGATGTATGTATCACTGCATTTCAGTGGGACTTGTTCCCAATAAGTGTTAGTTAGAATCAATAAATGTTCTGGGATAATAGTCTGCATATATAGCACAATTCAGTCAATATGAAGTCCGCTGGAAACCTCAATGAGAGTTAAATGCTTAATTGTGTATTGGAATTTTTTTACTTCTTTGGAATTCACGCATGCCTGAGGACCAGTGTACAATGTGATTTTGTGACATATGTTTTCACAAAAAGTGATCTGGTTCTGCAATCATGTGGAGAAGCATATCAAGTTTAGTAGAAATGCACTGGTATGCCTTTTAATAATAATGATCTGGAGGTCTCCAAGAAGTAATACAACTATTGTAGAAATGACTATCCAAGTATTCTACAGATTTAAGCATTATATTACATATAAAACAACACAAGCCTCGCTGCACACCATGCAAGAAGCAGGGCAAAATCTTTTACTTCTGTTGAACCGTAGCTTATCACTGCACTACAACTGCTAAATTATAGTTCATTTTAACTATGGTTTGATGAAACAAGCAAAATTCAAATCAAACTGGCTTAGGGTTTGGACATAAATCAGTTTTTGGTTCTGAAAAAGCACTAAACTGTGATTTAGAGAAGTGAAAACTTACAATCTCCTTGTGATGGCATACAAGGAGGAGTGGGGGAAGAACAGCTTATAAGCAGGAGACTCACTGCAACTAATTCCTGTAACACCAAACCATGATTTTTCATCATTTGTTAAAGCAGGCATAAAAACAGACCAAAAAAAGCCACATGAATCAGCGCTGGCTTACCCCAAATGTTTAAAATTAGAAGAGTGGATTTGTGAGACAATCTTCTGCCACCTTCTTGTGAGGATTCATGATTCTTTTTGTTGCTCATGTTTCATATCCATGGAAAGACTAGAAGGTCTAGTCTCATGATATGAAGTGGGACTTTATATTAGCACTGCATGAACTGTTTATACTAGTTCCCAAATAAATAAATGCAAATAAAGTTTTACATGTATGCAAAGGGCATAGTAGCTTCAAAAATGCTATGAATATCTATGGCTTAGAAATCAGATGTTTTAAAAAATAAATATTCAGAAAATCTTTAATTGTGTATTCATCTATCCATCTGCTCAAATGTATACTCTTTGAAGTGCAGGTGGCCTGTAGCATTATGCTACGACAATTAATCAAGTTTTAAATCTTTTCTTGCTCTTAGACTCAACTGAATAGCAAAAAGGAGTTATCTAATTCTCCATTCACACAATATACATAATTAGATATGTTCTTTCTCTTTCAACAATATATATGCTCTGTAGGTTTATTATATAGCTTTTCAATTTAGTGCAACTTCATCTTCAAATATTATTTGTAGCTTTAAAACATGAGGTTATGGATGTAGTTTTATGCCAATTTACTTGGGTCTGGAAGTAAGTCCTACTCATTTAAGCTTAATTACACTTTTCTGATTAAACATGTATAGGATCACACTGCAAATTATAGGAGCTGCTGCAAATTAACAACTGGTATAACAACGGCTATGTGTCACTGAGTAGCAGTTGCAGGTAAACTTTACATTTGTCTGCAACATTCGATTAACTGAATTCTGGTAGTAATCTTATGCAAACATGGATACATTATTTAGTAGTGTAAAACTTTGTCTACTTTCCCCCCTAAGATGGCATTTATACATTACGACAGGTCATTAAATGTTATGATACATTTTGTCCATGGAAACTGAATCTACTTTTTTTCTTATGCAATAATGATTAAATGTTTTAATATGAATGTTTAAAGATGCCTATTTATTGAATGAAAATTATTACTAAATGAGAAGCTAAGTATTAGCAGAGGATGGTTATATGTATGGCTGTTCAAATAACACACAAGGTATGAAATTTCTGAAGGAAAAAACCCTGTTGTCCATCATAGACAGGAAGAAGGTTGGGAAAACAGCAGCAAAAGAATAGAGATGAGTAGAATACTTGGGTGGTCTAGTAAAAAGGATAAGATAAACACAGCACCCTTTTCTATGATTTTTAGTGAAACAATTGTACAGACCAACCCCCAGGCAGATGGACTTTTGTTTCCTAAATTACATAGACTAAACTAACTGTAATGTGGTTTTCTTGACCTTGGAATATATTGTACATTATTATCTCATTTATAAAGGGTCTTTTATCTTTTCATTTCCATGTACTGTATTTGTTTTCTGACCCAAAGATACCACATATTTGTTTTCCTTAACCCCTATTGTCCTCTTTGTTAAGTTCAGAATATGAAGTGGTAGCAGTGTGTACTTTACAACTTATCTATTAAAAGAAGGCCAAATAAACCTAAGCTTGACCCATAACTTTGTAATACACCAGCATGATTAAATCTTTTGGTTTGTTGCAACTGACACATAATCCAATCAAATACACACCCTGCACAAAGGAAGGAGAAGAACATTGTTTCTAAAACAACCATATTTGAAAAACTTGCAAATGTGATACCTACTTTTGAAGAGAAAAAGGATTGAAAGACAATAATTTGTGCTGGCATAAGCTTAATAACACACACAAATAATTGATAATATCAATTATTATTATAGTATTTATTTACTTATTTACTTGTTTTATTACCTGAACTTCACCATTAAGCCCCAGGGTAGGTTACAACATTGAAACATTAAAAAATAGTTTAAAACAACTTACATATCCCTAACATATATAATGTCATAAATATATCTCAGCCCTGCCTGGAAAGGTTACAACAGCTCACATTACCTGACATTATTCATTTGTTTGCTTGTTTAAAGTATATTTTGTAATGACAAGTGAAACATGTAGAGCAGCAATTTGGAAAGGTGTGCTGGTCTACCATCACTGTCTACCATTACTTATAGAATCATGGAGTTAGAAGGGACCCTGAGAATCATCTAGTCCACCCTCTGCAACGCAGGAATATACAGCTGTCCTATATGGGGATTAAACATGCAACCTTGTTGTTATCAGCACCACGCTCTAACCAACTGAACTATCCATAAACAGTACTTATAGATTACTGTGCATAGACAGAGCAGTCTAGTAGCCTTTATGAGTTAACCTATGCACCTGTCACCAAAAACAAATATGTCGACGCAAATAGCACAGCATATTCAAGCAATCTTCTCACAACATTTGAAGAAAGTGTCATATCATTAAAAGGGTGTTTCTGATCCGTATCTGCTTTAATTAAGTAAATGTTATTCACTCATTAATAAAATCATTTTATCTTGGTTTTCAGGCACACACAGGTAGATCTCCACAACACATTGCAAAGAGGTTACAATAATAACATTAAATACAAAGCTAAAAACCAGAGCCAACTCACATAACTCACAGTAC